TGTTGCTGAGAAAGAGCTGGTCTGGAAGGCTGTGCGCTGAAAGGGTCAAGCTCTAGGCATTCTGGGGAATGTAAGAGTGGGGGATGTGGGAAGACATGTAAGCGGTGAAAGGGTAGGAGGGCACAGGAAGGGGTGACCGAAAGGGTGACGAGGCAAACCGCAGCTAACTCTGAGGGCAGTGAAGCTAACTGTGCTGTATGGGGTGATAATGGTGGCACTTGTCAATTAAAGACACCTCTAAACCCTTCAGGAGACAGAGCACCAAGAGAGAACATCAAGATAAAATAAGGCTCAAAATAAGAGTGTATTTAGGCTAGTTCTTCCGTGGTAGCAAATGTAGTGTGCCAGTAAAAATGTCACTGAGAAGAGGGGCTGCAGGGGGCAGAGGAGATGGGGGCTCTCGGCACCTCCTGCCAGTATTTGGACAACCCTGAATTTGCTCGATGTAGTTTATTCAGTAAGAGCTGGCTGTGGTGGTGCTCACCTTTAATCCCAGCACTGAGGAGGCAGAGATAGGAGGATCTCTGTGAGTTAGAGGCTGGCTTGGTCTATAAAGTGAGTGTCAGGACAGCTAAGGCTACACAGAGAAACCCTGTCTTGAAAAACACAAAACAAAACACACAAGCAAAAAGAAGCAAAGAAAAGTTTAATTTCCTAATTCCACGGATCCTCCTCTGCCTGGGAGGCTGTGGCTATGATGCTCATTGCTGTTGCCATGGGTGGTAGCATTGGTGAGACGCTGAGCTGGAGAGTGAGGTGGAATGTGACTAGGTGGGCAAGCTGTAGGTTCTTAGTCTTCAGATGTTAGGCATGTGGCCTTTACCCTAAAAGCAATGGGGGACTACTGAGAAGTGAATCAGGAGAGTGACATGGAGAGATGGATGCTTCAGGGGGTTTGGGTTGCCTCCCCAGTCCCCCATCTGTAGAATTAGAAAGCTGTATCCAGTAGTCAGGGAAGTTGTCTTCAGCCTGGAGGATCTGACCAACTTCCCAACCCCTCCCTCTCCCTGCCCCACCCCCTTGATTTTTCTGACTCACTGTGCCATGCTTTGGTTGGATGCCTACGCTAGGGGAGGGGATGGGGGTGGGGATGGGGTCCCTGCAGGCATCTACTGCACAAGGCGGTGCCTGGGGAACAGCTCCATTTGATTTGATTTTTCTCTCTTTGAAGTCTTCAAGGAGAAAAGCTAAGGCCTAGCCCACTCTTAATAGCCTCATGGAGGGGAGACAGAAATCAGGAGACTGGGAACCAACTCCTTTGGGGTTACAGAGCAGGATAGACTGCAGAGGGGGATGGGAGGAGGTCTTTGATTGCTTGCAGAACTCATAAGGTTCTCTTAGTGCCCCTTTGGAGGCTCAAGATGGCTGTGTATATTAGGGGAGGTGTCTCTGCCCATTCCAAACCATCTCCTGTCACTGCAGTATGATTTATGAGCTTTTCCTTCAAAACATGAGAACACTGGCCGCTGATGCTGCCCTGTAGTGGATCTAATAAGTGACATCTTCTTGTTATGCACAGGATGTGAGAGGCAGAAGATGGGAAAATTCACAGTAGGCTGTGCTTTGTTTTGTTTTAACATGGAAAATACCAAGCTCTTGGTCTATTGTAGTGTTTGAAGCTTTATTGTCATCTTCGGAGGAATATGAATTTGATTCGTAGTTTGGCTTTGCACTAGCATTTTAGCCTGATGGTGTCCTCTGAGCCATCACCCTGTCACCTACAGAGGTAAAGTTGGGGACACCAGTAATACCTTCCTCCTAGGGATGCCCTGTGATTTACATGAGCAAAGTAGCTTGAAACACTAGCATCATCGAGATGATTCTAACAGTGGAGGGTCTGAAAGTTGGAAGGAGAATATCTGAAAAGGATGGTTGTGACTGTGTGTTGATACAGCATTTCCATCCGTTTATACACATGGGCCCATGAATACACATGCCTGTGCAACTGGTGATAGTTCATAGAACATAATGTGGTCTTTGCCAAGCCTCCAAGCTTAGTTTACACAAAGCCTTTGTTCTTCCTCTGTAGAAACTGATAAGCCATAGCCACACTCTGTTTGTGTGTAAAAAGCAATGAGTGAGAGCCACACCAAGTGTGTGTGGTAAGTGTGTGCACATGTGTATATGTGTATGTATTTGTGTGTACATGTCTGTATGTGTGTATGCATGTGTTTATGTGGCATGTGTGTGTGCATGTATGTGTGCCACGTATGTGCATGCTGTGTGTGTGTGTGAATGTGGCATGTGTATGTATGTATGTGTGTGTGTGTGTGTGTGTGTGTGTGTGTGTGAATGAGTGAGTGTGTGTGTGTCTGTTTCTGTGTCTTGTGTGTGTTGGAATGTGAATTTTGTCTAAGTGATAGGTTGGTGAGTAGTATGTGGTTAATGCTGCATATGTGGCATGCTCTATGTTTTGTGTTTATCTGTGTTTTGACATGAGTGTGTGTTTGTGTGTCAGGTGAGGTGCTCACAGTCAGTTACTTTGTGGGCTTGGCAGAGGAATGTGATAAGCATTAGTGGCAGTTTGTTGGACAGGTATTATATTCTGATGGATCTGTTTTGCTCTTGGAGAATCCACACTCAGAGCTTGGATTTCACTTGTGGAGACCTCACATAGGGTATGTAAGAATGAAAACAACCATCATCTAAAACCAGTCCTGGCAATCTGTGATGCCAGGAATCCTACAGTGTGTTGGGGATGTTGGCGGGCGGTGGGTCCGCCAGGCCTTGGTGGAAGGAGCCTTCCTGCCCGGTTGCAGAGCAGCAGTGTGGACCTCCTGGTGTCTGCCCTCAGGATGAACTTGAAAGTCTCGGCTGTCCCACAGTTCTAGCTAACATTTAAAATGTTTTAGTCTAAGCATAGTAATTATAAAGGATATATTTCCATCATGTTTTAAATATTGGCATTTTAGAATGACATTGTACCATTCTCTTAAAAGCAGATCAAACTAAAACTCAATAACACTACAATTTCATAGTTGTCTCCTCCTGAAGTGTTACATAATTCAGAAAAATGCACATCTGGGGTGCAATTCCATTCATCTGGCCCATGTTCTGCCCAGGTGTTGGGTTTGCCCAGAACCCCAGAAGGCAACCTTTTTTCCTCGGAGTCAGTATGCCCCTGAAGGTGACTACTTCTCTCTCTCTCTAACACTGTAAATTACCTTTTCTGTTCTCACTTTTCCTGGCTGGTTCAATAAACATAAGGTCCATGCATTCCAAGCCTATGCTGTGTGTAGCCCATACTTTCTCACCACATAGCATTCCCTTGAACAGATGCCTCACTTGAAAACATTGCTTCTATTCTTACTGGACGTTTGGAGCTTCTAATGCTTGGTTAAAAAGTTCTGATTCTTGAACATATTTTTGGGTGGACTGACTTCTTTTGGGTATTTATTTGTGAGTGGAATTTCCAGGTCATAGGAAGAATTCTGCAATTCATCATTATTCTCCACTCTCCATCCAAGAGAACCCAAAGGCATAAAACTTTTTATATCATTTCTTACTTTCTAATTCATAATTTCCTTCAATAAAATCTTTCACAGAATTTTATCCTAATATAGTTTTATGCTTAAAACTTATAAGTCAGTTATCATATTCCTTTTTAACTTATATACAAATCAAATAGACATTTTGATTTTTATGGTTACATTTAATTAATTAGTAGAGCACAGAGGGTTTGTGGTCCTTTGACCTGAGGAAGGTTTTCTACCACCAATATTTGAAATTGCTCTTTTTGGGACACCTAGACACTTCTGCCATTTTGGGGTCTTCCATCATAGTTAGACTCTGGAAATATGGAAGGAAACCATTGTGAAGGGTGAGGTGGGGAAGGGATGGCATTCTCCGGCACAGCTGGAGACCATAGTGTCAGCAATGAGGCTCTCATGTGGATTCTCCCATGCTCCTGTCTGCAAACCCATTGGGAAGTCTTGCTATGTCCCTGGTGGCTCTGTGCCAGTTTGCAGACCTGCTCTCACATGAAGAGGATGGGGAGGGAACACTGGACCATTCAAAGATGGGTTTGAGTGATGTACAAAATTCATAGGTGTGGAAGGGGAGGGAACCCATACTAAAGAGCTGAATGTAACCCTTAGGCAGCAGGAGCCTGGGGTGATTTTTGTTTTTTTGAGAAGGTTGTCAAAGAAGAGCAAATGGGGCATCTTGAAGAGCTGGGTCTATTGAGGACCCAAGAAGGGGTTGCTGCACCTGAACCATGAAGTGACAGTGTTAGGGCTTGATAAAATGTTGGATGTCACTGTTAGGGCATCAGGACATGTTGAGGTTGTTAAGGAAATGAAGGGGAGAGATGTTTTTTTTTTTTTTTTTTTCCCCCCCCCCCTTTGGAACATCCTTCGTGGTTGCCCACACCCAGCTCCATCAGCTGATACTTCTCCAATTGTGGACTTGGTTCTTCTAGTGGTACTTGAGATGTTAGGAGCTTAGGGGAATTGAAAGCAGTTTAGGCAGAACACTGGAGCTCCAGATAGCTTCTGATGCCTTCTGGGTCCTGCCTACACTAATAAGAAAAATCTTAACCTTTCTCTTTGGGCCACCTCCATTTTATTGACAAAGAATAAGCTTCTTAGGTAAGGCCTCTGGCCCTTTGGTAAGTCCTAGTTGTAGTGTGTAAATAGGACTTAAAATGTCCATTTCATTTCTGATATCCCAGGCTGCAAGGGCTATCACTTTTCTGGGGTGATGGAGATGCATATTGCCTTTTAGTTTAAGCAAATTCATTCCAGCAAGAAAAGTTCGTCAATCTGCTAATCATGGGGGGTAACAATGTAGCCAGTGGCCTGTATATCAGTCAGAAATCTTGATGGCAACATGGAGTAAAGAAACTCAAGTTTGGGAAATAGTAGGTAAACTGTATAGCAGAAAGGAGCCCTTGCCAAATCTCTGCATAGGAAAGTCAGGGCTCTGTCTGGGTTCAGGGGGTTATGGGTCCACTGCTGTTCCTAGCCACAGCCTGATGCTCAGCTCCTTGCCTCCTGCAGAGATCCGCATGCAGCTGGTGGAGCAGTTCAAATGCCTGGAGCAGCAGTCAGAGTCGCGGCTGCAGCTGCTGCAAGACCTGCAGGAGTTCTTCCGCAGGAAAGCTGAGATCGAGTTGGAGTATTCCCGCAGCCTGGAGAAGCTGGCCGAGCGCTTCTCCTCCAAGATCCGCAGCTCCCGGGAACACCAGTTCAAGTGAGGAGTTGGCTGTGGGCCCTGGGAGGGAGGTGGTGCTGGGCAGGAGGGCTGTTGGCAGAGGCCATGAGCAAAGGAGGCCAAGAGTGGATGTGGAGGCCAGAACTAGACCTTGGCTTGCAAGGTCCTGCAAGGTGCTGGCTTCTGCAGCTTCTAGGAGTTAGTTGTTCTCATGCACCAGGTGAAGATGGAAATGGATTCCGTGTAGACGGTTGCTATAGAGAGTAGACGAGTGGCATGGAGCTGCCTTCATTTATGCCCAGCCGAGACTCTGTACCTACTTTCAGCACATCTTGACTTTATCTGGTTGGGTTTTACTTGGGTACCAGCTCAGCTTCTATCTCCTCAGAATGTCTTCTCATGGGCTGGTTCCACAGAACATCCTTCTTCCTTGCTATTCTGGAGGACCTCAGTACCCAAACACTCTCCTACCTTCTTAATTATGACACACAGACCCTCCGATATCCCAGCAGCTCACACCCCAAGCTTTAAGTGCGGTTTCGCTATCTGACCAGGCAGATTCTGAAGACCTCCGTTACCCTGAATTGCTGCTGGAGCTATCCACATTGGTGTACATAGCTGGGGTCTTATCACCTGCCCCTCCTTCCTCTTGATTTGAAGCCAACTCCCCTCATATTCTAAGTGTGAGCATGGAGGAGGGGGGGAGGGGAGGCCTTGATGACACAGGGGTCTCTTATTCCCTCACCTTGTCTGTAATGAGCCCCACTAACCCCTCATGGGTTCATTAACTCAGCCACCAGATGGATGGGAGACCCAGCTGGCAGTCGGACCAAGTGGGCTTCTTGTCTCTCTATGAAAGTCTAATTAGGGGGTCATCCAGGTCAGTGCAGCTGGGGTAGACCCTCTACATGATGCTAATGTTATGGTCCAGCCTGATGGCTTTGGGAAGTTGAGATTTTCGGGAAGGCCGATTCACCTTTGACTCCAGGGTGCTCAGTGACCTGTCTGCTGCTTCCAATCATAGGGTCTGTGCTGTGGTCTGGTCCTTTAGCCTAGATGTCCTGAGAAGTCAGTCTGTCTCATAGATTCTTCACTTAAGTGTGCCCAAGCTGCCAGGTTGCTTCTTAGGGCTGGGGAAGAGGCCTGGGGTTCTTTTAGCTGAGGAAGGGAAGAGGGTGGGGGGAGGGAAAGGAAAGAACAAGGAAGGAGCTCCCAGGAGGATGGAATTTATTAATTCTTGGTTCGCACAGTTTACTTGAGTTGAGAGACTTGGCTCAGAGAGGGAATTGATTTGCTAAAGATGCCACAGCTAGTTAGGGACAGAATTCCCAGGTCCTTCTGCTCTAGTTCAGGGTGTTTTCTTTGGTCCTGTGGGTACTCCCTAAAGCCCAAGCTTTTCCTAATCTGCCTGGGCTATGGGGATGTTTACAGTTGTGGAAGGTGCTAAATTTAGGGCCAGACCTAGCTGGGTGGAGTTCCATGTGGCACTTGATTTAAAGAAAGGCCTAGGGGCTGTCATGGCAGCTCAACAGCTTAAGGGGCTTGCTGCCAAACCCAACAACTTGTGTTCGATCCCCAGAACCCATGTGGCAGAAAGAAAGAACTGACTTTTTGTCCCCTAGGTCCACAGGACTTGATGCTGGTTCCTGGATTCCCCAGAGGGAGCTTGAGCATTGTAGAGGAGAAGGGAGATGCAGATTGCCATTCCTCACTGACTTAGGATGGGGGGATTTATATTGGGAATGAGGCAGGGCTAGTACCCTGGGCTGAGGCCTTGGTCTGTCTTCTGTGGTTGAGCACTGGGTTTCAAAGTCTGAAATGACAGAGAAGATGGCCAGTGAGCAAGGGCTTCTAGCACCTGGTAAAAGGGTTGATCCGTGGTTGGTACAAATGTTCTTTGAGTAAATGTCTAGTGGTAATTAGAGTTGCCCTAGTGGGCAGTGCATCTTTTGACTTCCTCATATTGGTGAAACCATTTGAGCAAAGTGCTTCCCACTCATGTACCTGGTATTTGGTACTGCATTGCTGTGGGAACAGAGTGACCTTGATAGTAGCCTTTTGGCTGGAGAGTGGGGACCACCAAGGGACTGGTGTGTAAGGCTTGGTAAGATAGAGGCTTTTCCAAAATGCAGAGTCTGAGGCCTCCCCCAGTCTCCTGAATCAGAAGCTCTGGGGCATCAGTAAGCCTTTCTGGGTTCTAGATGACAAATGGTTTCAGTCTTTTTTTTTTTTTTTTTTTTTTTTTTGTGGGCTGTTCTGGCCTGCCTTCCTTGTTACCAGCATAGAAGTCACATCTTGCCCTTTGGGGAACAGGCCTGGAGGATTCTGGCTTTTCCTTCTGATGGTCTGGAACCAGGGGCATTACCTGGGCAGGAAGATGCCATGGAGAGTAGCACATAGGTGCCTGACCCTGCTTCTCAGGAGGGTGGGTGGTCTGGTCCAAACAAGCTGGTTAGGCTTGCAGAGGTTTCCTGTGACCAAGGTTTTCCCAAGAGCAGTATATTCTAAAACACCAATACTTTGGGTTACTTGGTGGGGGAAGAAAAAAACAGAAAAAAGAAAAGAGAAAAGGAATTCTGTATTTTGGAATCACTGACTATTCTGGAATTCACTGTGTAGAGCAGGCTGGCTTTGAATTCACAGAGATCTACTTATCTCTGCCTCTTGGGTGCTGGGACTGAAGGTGTGCACAATCATGCTGTGAGCCCACTGACTGCTGTTAATGAGACCCTAAGATGTCCCCAGCACAGTGTGTGGAAGGCTCTGAGAGATTTGTACTAAGCCTGCTGTCTTCTTTCTGAAAGCTGTATGACCATGGAATTTTCCCTCCCCAGGATAAATAGTTACACTTTACAAAGTAGTGCTCCCTGGGACCCCATTTGCAAAGCTCTGTTCTACACACACCTATAGTGTAATGACATTTCATTGAAATAGTGCTCTGTATTTGGGGTGACAGGGCCCCATTATTTGGACTCCTTTGGTTGTTGGTAGTTCTTGTCTTTCAGGGAACTGTCCCTTATGACAATCCCCTGTCCAGGGTTAAGTGATGCTGGCTGCTCTGTGGCCCACCGAGAAGAGCAGCAGGGAGTTTTGTTCAAACACATTAGAAATAGGTGGGGGGGAGTCAGAGTTTGGGAAGAGCCGGGTGGTGCTTGACTTGCCACTGCCTAATATTCTGTGCAGATATTCGGTACCAGCACAGATGTCTTCCAGCTTCACAGAACAGTTAGAGGGAGGACCCCAACTGGCTTCTTTTCCAAGAAAACACTTTTTACTGGGGAAGAAGTGCCACAGTTTTCACAGCTGCAGCATGTCTTAAAATGAGGGTAGAATTGAGATGCAGCCTTTCAGGCTATTGCTTGTCAGAAAAGCATTTTTGCAATGTGTACTCTGTAACTTGAAGTTGGTATGCAGAGGACCCGGGGTGGAGAGGTCTGGCCAGGAGAGGCAGGGATGCAGGAAGCCCTCAGGTTGGGCTTGTGTCCCTACTGATAGCTACAATTGTTCCTGTGGCTGGAATCACACAATAAGTTATTGAATTTTCCAGGTTCCCTCACAAGTACTGTAACTTGTGCTGCATGCTCTCCCAGGTGAATAGTAGCCACCATCTTAATGGAACTTCCATGACATGCAGGACAGATACATCATTATCTTCCTAGCTGATACTAGTAAGGGCTGGAGATATTAATTTGCCCAGGACACAGCTTTAGTTGCAGATAATGCAAGCAGGATTTGAATCTTGGTCTGTCAGACCCCAAATGCAAATAGAGACTCCGGCAGTACCACCACATGGCAGGTCTGTTTCCTTGGCTGTCTGCATAGGTTAATGCTTGTGGAGAGTTACCATCTAACCAGACCTGTGTGAGCATCTGGGGTCTTGGAAAGGTTCTTATGAAAAGCCTCTTATGACTTGGCTGGTTGTAGGTCTCACAAAGTTCAAGTCAGATTAGCAAGAAACCAAACAGCTTGTAGCTCTGGCGTGCCACCATCATCCTACTAGGTCCTTGAAAGCAAAGGGGGCACTTATAATTTCTGTCTTTGTCTTTGTCTGTCTCTGCCTCTTTGTCTCTCCCTGTCTCTTTCTCTGTTATAACATAATACAAAACTGATCAGTGCTCTTTGGAATAGAGGAAGGCTCACTCATTGGTGCTCCCTGAGTCATAACTGTTAAATTCTCTTTCAGCCTTGAGGAGAAAGCCTCCTTGAAGTTCCTGTGTTGATAATGCCTCTCTAATCTTTCAGCAATCTTCAGGCTTCAGCACCTGCCTGAGAATGTATTACACTGTTTGTTTCCCTTAAAGTTACTTTCTCAGGTACCTTTTATTTATGGCAAGCATCTTAAAAAAGAAATCTATGACTAAGGAAAGTTCTTTGTAAATGTTTTTAGAAAAAGACAGCAAATAGACTGGAGAGATGGCTCCATGGGTAAGAACATTCTCTATTTGAACATGAAGAGCCAAGTTCAAATTCACAAAACCCTCGTAAAGACCAGGTGTGCTTGCACATGCCTATAACAACACTTCAGAGAGGGAGGAGTCAGGAGGACTCCTAAGGCTAGGTGCCAACCTATCTCCAAGTTTAGCAGGAGACCTTGCCCCAAGGGAATAAAGTGTAGAGTGGTAGAGTAGGATACCTGTGTTCTCTGTGTGTGCATGCATGTGTGTGTGTACCACACACACACACCTGCTCACTCACTCACTCACTCACTCACTCACTCACTCACTCACTCACTCACACATGCACACACACTTAGAATCAAAGGGAGATACTGAGCCTGGGTTTTGGGATTTGATAATCCTGGTTTAGCAAAAGCTCACACTGGGTCTTATTTCTAGTTCCTTGTAGAAAAATTATCACCTTCCCTCACTTCTGACTTCCATCCTGCAGTTTCTATCAGCTCAAATGTCTATCATTTCTACATTCTATAGTTCCTTGTCCAGCTTCCCTCACCTCCAACATCACTTTTCCTTCTCAATCTTCTATCATTTTCTGTCATTTCCACTCTCTGTATTCTACCTTTCAACTCCATCTTCTGTCAT